AAACATTTTTTAAATTCTACAAAAGCAAAAAAGTACTGACTGGCTTCTTCGGCCGCAGTATACCATATTTGAACTTTAAACAAGTAAAAACGTTTCAGTCGGTATAAACCGATTGAATTATACCCTGCACCTTTCGTTATTGTGTAGCAATTACTCGAACCTGTGAATACTCGAACTTCACGGATATGTCTGACCTATAATTGGACATCCGACTGCCAAGTTTCATGAATCTGACTTTATAATTTTTCCAAATATTTAAAATTAGCTTTTGGAGTTGTATGGCAAGTACCTGAACCTGTCAAACAATTCCATCAAAACTTCACAAATATATCTGATCTATAATCAGACACACAACTGCCAAGTTTCATGAATCTGACTTTATTATTTTTCCAAAAATTTAGAATAAGCTTTTAGACTTGTATGGGACCTACTCGAACCTGTATAGCAATTTCACCAAAACTTCAGAAATATATCTGACCTATAACTCGACATATAACTGTTAAGTTTCATGAATCTGACTTTATTATTTTTCCAAATATTTAAAATAAGCTTTTGGAGTTGTTTAGCAAGTCCCCTAACCTGTCAAGCAACTCCACTAAAACTTCACAAATATATCTGATCTATAATCGGACACACAACTATGCCAAGTTTCATGGATCTGACTTAATTATTTTTCCAAATATTAAGAATAAGCTTTAAGACTTGTATGGGAGCTACTCGAACCTGTCAAGCAATCCTATTAAAATTTTAGAAATATGTCTGACTTATAATTGGACACATGACTGCCAAGTCTCATGAATCTGACTTTATTATTTTTCCAAATTTTTAAAATAAGCTTTTAGACTTGTATGGGAGCTACTCGAACCTGTCAAGCAATTCAACTAAAACTTCAGAAATATATCTGAACTATAACTCGACACACAACTGCCAAGTTTCATGAATCTGACTTTATTATTTTTCCAAATATTTAAAATTAGCTTCTGGAGTTGTATGGCAGGTACCCGAACCTGTAAAGCAATTACCCTAAAACTTCATAAATATATCTGATCTATAATCGGACATCCAACTGCCAAGTTTCATGAATCTGACTTTATTATTTTTCCAAATATTTAAAATTAGCTTCTGGAGTTGTATGGCAGGTACCCGAACCTGTAAAGCAATTCCTCTAAAACTTCAGAAGTATATTTGACCTACAATTGGACATATGACTGCCAAGTTTCATGAATCTGACTTTATTATTTTGCCGAATATAAAAAATTTGCTGTTGGAGTTGTATGGCAGCCACCCGAACCGGTGCAGCTATCCCATTATAAATTTTAGAGCATATGTAGAATATAATTGGACACATGTATACAAAATTTTATATTTGTACCTTTATTAGTTTTTGAAATAATTAAAATAAACTCTTTGAGTTGTATGGCAGCTACCCGAACCCGTTGTCCGAATTAGTCCAATAACAATAGGGCTCGTCCCAGGCACAAAAGAAAAAACTTGTGAAAGTTTGGTGTCGATTGCATTATTCGTTTTTGAGTTATCGTGCGATCGGACGGACGGACGGACGGACGGACGGACAGACAGACGGACATGTTTAAATCAACGCAGAATTTTACGCTGAGCAAGAATATATATATATGTCCATACCGCAGATGACTCCTTCAAGTAGTTACAAACTCCATACCAAAGTTAATATACCCTTCACGAAGTGCAGGGTATAAAAACAAAATGGCCGTTGAAATTTACAGTTATACAAAATCCGTTTTTTACAAATTTTTGATATTGTTTTTCTTCTAGATATCAGTTTTTAAAAGTCTGAAATTTAAAATTTTAGACTCCCACTTGTCAAGAAAAATTTAAATATTTGGCAAATTATATTTCCGAAACTGCAAACTTTTCCAAATTTCTACAATTGCAGAAAGTTAACAGTGAATGCCATGCCATTAAAAAATATAATTATTTTTCTTAGCTCGGGCAATTACGCCCTAAATTCGAGTATTATGTTTAAGCCTCTTTAAGTTTTCTTTTTGTTTTATAGTATTTCAAGATTGCATGAATTGCTCATCCTAAATGTATGGAACCTGTGAAAACTATTCGTATACTAATGCACGGTTTGTTTTCAAAAACAGTATTTTCACTTGTCGAAGGGAAAAGAGCTACAGTACAAACCATGGGTTTGATCCAACTTTATCTTATTTAATGTTAAATTTTTAATGTAATGTAAAATGAATAAATTTCTAGTTCACAGCAAAGTATAACAATTACGAATGAATTTGAAAAAAAATATCATTTAAATTCTAATTTTGATATTACAAGATTTACATTATATTTAATCTCCATTTTAAAATTAATAAATTTTTGTGATATTTTTTGATTCGCTATAAATATTTTTACATTCCTGGAATTTGTAAATTTGTAAATTTTAAATTGTATAAGCAACGAATATAGCACAGTTATGGCTCTTTCTTCTTAAAATATCTGCAATACACATATGTACCTGATTTTATCGTTTTCCTCTGTTAAACATTTGCGGTAAAATATTGTTGTACATGTACATGTACTTCAAGCGAATAACAGATGCATAAATGTATTTGTTTACAAATCCCTATAAGACATTTTTAATTTCAATTAATCTTATCTCATCAATATTGTTAAACTATGTTGCAAAACCTTTCTAATATAATTTTTAAATAATAAAGTTTCTAGAGTAAGTATTTTTTAATTTTATTTTGTAGAATATTGTTAAACTATTAAAAAACTGGAAACTTCTACTAAAACTTCTTTTTCATAATACGACGGTGTTAATTGAAATGTGGTTCTTAATTGACGCTGAGGTTGCAATATTATAAAACAAAACATTCTAGTTATGTTGTTAACCTAACAACATTTTATTTTTAATGAATTTTTTTAAGTAAACGTAAAAAAGTGTGTATCTCTTATTTAAAGAACAACTAACAATCACCAATCATTCGAATTTCATAAAGGTTTAAATTTAACAATCACTGATTTTTTTAAAGGATTGCATATTATTTTATGCTTTTTTATGGCTTTATTTCAGTAACTGTTGATTTTACAATAATATTCTTAATAAGACTCTTACACAATACAAACTAAATGAAAAAAATTCATTACTAAATAGGTTTACTGGGATATTTACATAAAATATTTGAATTTTGCTTAAATGTGTACAAAATGTAGTAATACATACTTATATTTGCAAAAACAATAAAAATATTTGTGTTGCGTTGTTTCCTATGTTTTGAAAAATATAACAGGATAAAAATAAAGAAACAAGGGAACACGATAACTAAATCAAAAAGGATAAACAATGATAATAAAACCACAAAACAAAAGAAAAGGTAAACATTGTTTTCGTTTTTCTATTCTTATGGAAATTTTCAAATAAGCGTACATATAAAATATATTTTTTTTGTGGGAAACGTGCTCCTTATATTGCAACAATAACAGAACAGATTTTCCTAATATTTTAAACGAACTCGAATCACATACAATGTATGTAAGAATCTAAGAAAAAAATTGTAAGGAAATCATTTTGAAAAAGAATTAAGGATTTTTTTTTTTGTTTTCTTTGATATTTTTCTTTTCTATTAAAATATCCTTAAAGCACATACACAAATAAACAAAAAAAATACATTATTAATATTAAGAATTTATTTATATTGTAATAAAAATCATTATGATTTTGTTTACGCTGGTAATGCGAAATGTAATGTATAGAAAATTTTATATTATTTTTTAACAGAATACAAATTTTAAGTGGCCCTGAAGTCAATTGTAAAGAAGAAATGCAAATCATTTCAATGAAATTAACTAATAATTCATTCGTATCATAAATTTTCATACAATATGATACGTGTGAAATATAAAACGTGTAAAAATTGTCTTAAACCGGGTGGTAGTAAAGAGAATTATTGTTATTCATTTCTAAGCTGTTTTTAAAAGAATAATCATTGGAATGCATTTACAAAGAGAAACAATTAAATAATCCTTTGAATATATCCTTTGCGACATTTATTTCATTCTTATTATATAGTATATATACCTAATTGTGCTATAATACAAGTATGACTTATAAAAGGAGAGCAAAATAAAACAACTTGCTTTCACAACACTTAAAATTTTACCGCTTATAATAATTATAGTTCATAGTTATTATATTACAAATACACACCTGCATAGGACATATTTTATTTACTATGGTGTTACCACATTAGTATTAAAATCTTACAGCTTAATATAAGAATTGAATGGTTCATAACCTTGCTCAGTTTATGTAACCGTTTAGAATTCTTGAAACTGGTAGTTTTGCGTTATTACGTGGCGGCACTATTTGATACAAAATCAAACATAATGAGAAAATTTTGATTGAGAAACATTAATTATTTCATATAAATGAAATATGAAGAAACAGCCCTAGTAGAAAATCACGAATACTTGATTAGAATATAAATATTTATTTTAACAAGATTCAACGGTACTTTGTATACTTGGTCTTGTTCTTCATAACAAAGTTCTTGTTTAGATAGTTTTTCTAAAACAATTTGCCGAATATTTTTCAAACGTCAGCTTGTATGTTATATAGACGATGTAATTAATAATAGCTTAAGCAAAATCAATAATCTGTAATCAACTAATTATAATTGGGTGAAAAATCAAATTTATACAATTCTGTATAACAGTCACACAATCATAATGCAAAACAATGCTATATGAATAAATAGTGTTCCAAATCCTTAATTGACATTAATAATAATTTCAACAATATTAAATAAAAGTGTCTTAATAACTAACCTTAATATTATTTTCTGAATAAACATTGAAAAATTAGATATTTCTTGCCAGTTGAAATAGACATTAAAGCACATGTAATTATGTGTATAGACTTCATTTACTAATTACAGAAAAAAATTAATCGAACAATAATCCTGTATTAATTCTTTTAAATACACATATTATATAATATATTTTTCCATTTTCCATTTCAGGAAATCATTATGAATACAAGCTCTGGAATTCATTTAGACTCAAAAATAAATATAATTAGAAATAGTCAAATAAATGTTATCAATGGTACTGATTTGGATCGTTACATAATAAATAATAATATTAATATATATAAGAATAATAATATAATTAGTGGTGGCGATAATAGTATAATTGGTGGCAATGGTGATGGTATTGTCAATGGTAGTGATAGTAATGTTAAAAATTTGACCTATAGCTACATAATGTCAATTATTGAGCAATATTCGACAAATCGTAGCATAACAGGTCCATGGTATAACATATTAATATTAATGTATTGTATATTAATAATATTTGGAGCTATGGGTAATATATTAGTTGTGATAGCTGTCGTTAGAAAACCAGTAATGCGAACAGCCAGAAATTTATTTATATTAAATTTAGCTATATCTGGTGAGTTTTATATTTATTATTTTTTATTTTTAATTAAAAATATATTAAATATGTAAAATAATTAAATTTTTAAATTAATTTTATAATTAAAATTCACAGATTTATTGTTATGTTTAGTGACGATGCCTCTAACATTAGTTGAAATTTTAACAAAATACTGGCCTTTAGGTAACTTTACATTTGTATGTAAAATTATGGGAACATTACAAGCTGTTAGTATATTCGTTTCAACAATTTCAATAACAGCAATCGCTCTAGATAGATATCAAGTAAGTATATTAACAAAATTATTAGAATTAGAAATTGTTATATTCAATATATACATATACGTTTATATACATATATATACCTTAGGGTTACAGAACATATAAAGGTAATTTAAAATTTTAAAAGATAAAGTTGATCATGTCAACTCTTTGATACATTTGTAAAAGTAATATGGAATTAAGATTCGTAAAATATTTATATTTTTTTTAAAATTGTTCTTCTGTTAATTTTGGGTAATTGTAATGGTTTTTCAAATGCGAAATAATTTTCGAATTGTATTGGCATCGAATCGAAATTGGCAACTACTCTAACAATTTTAGAACAAAATTTTTTCGGAATAGTAGCTGTGACACAAAGTGCGTTTTCTCTATTTTTGTTTTGGTTTTAAAGAGATGAGCAATTTTTGGAGTTGTTAATTCCTCTTTTGAAAAATTTTACAGTTTGCTCTTTACATGAGTAAATTATTTTTTGATTTGTATAGGAGCTACTTGAACCACTGCTTCTATCGAATCCGAAAAAAATATTAAATAAACCCAATTATTATTTTGTGAATGTTGGTCAATTTTTGTTACTTTGAGTTACTGCTTTGGGGAACAGGCAGACGAATAGACGCGTCCAATTCTCAGTGTTACAAACGAAATAGTAAAATTTATAAGGTTCTGCGAAAACTCGAAAATAACATTATTATGTCGTTTTATGAAAATTCTCTTAGTTTTTATTCAAGCATAGCAATTGTAAATTTTGAAAATTTAAATATATTAATGATATTTACTTACTTTTATTATGATAACAGTTTTTTTTTTAATTTTTTCGCTAAGAAGATTTATTTAAAAATTTAATAATGCTTGCATTTAAATTAAATTTTTAATTGAAATTTTGCAAATCAGGTGTAATAAGAGACACAAATGAGTAAAATTTTTTTTAGATATAATTAAAAAGTTTAATAGGCATATAGTGTATTTACTATAAATGGTTTATAATGTTAGAAGACGCTCTTTGCTTAAAATTAATACATAATTAAAATTTGAAATTTTGCAGTTTATTATTATTTATAACTTCGCCTAAAAGCCTGCAATATATATGAATAATATTTAGATATTGTTATAGCTTAGCTATGTACTATAATATGTTTTTTATTATATTTAAGTGGTACGCTAGTGCCATGTCAAAAAATCTTAAAAGAAAATCACTAAGATTGAAATTATGAGTCATAACAAAAATATGAGGCAATTTAAGCATACCTGAAAAATGAAAAATTCGTAATAATTTTATTAATTCCATCAACAAATTGTAAACTAATTTTACTAATTAATTTTTGAATTAATTCTATCTAAAACCAGAATAAACAGAAATTGGTACAATGAATGTTTCTTATAAAATATATTTAATATAATTATTTGGCAGGAACGAAAATTTATGTATAACAACTACTTCATATATCAGTTACGATGATTTCATCAAATTTATTTCATTATATTCATTAATTACTTTATAAATACCTACATATTAATAAATTCAATTAATCTTCAATAAAAAAATTATTTTGATATCCTATGCTTAATTGAAATTTCCAATTTCCTCTTGTAAAGTACTTGTTTTCCAAAATTAATAACATCGATGATATAATAATCTTCAAGGAGGTTTTAATAATTATAAAAATATTTTTAATTTATTTTGCTTAGGCATAATTAAAAATTCATTGATATTATTATAATTATGTCTGTAATGTGCTTGTAAAATTAATAAATTTGCTTTATTCCTGATTAATTATTGAATTTTTCTTAATGGAATTTTTTTTTATAAATTCACGGTAATTTCAAATAATGTTTAATATCAAATTTCAAAACGGACGAGATTATCATAGTCATAATTAATCAATTTGTGTGATACTTTTATATACGGAATTAACCAATCAGAAAATAGAGGTTATTGATAATAGATTGAATGATACTAGTGTGCTATTCAAAATCCAATTTTTTTTTAATAATTAAATATTAAATGAGAATCTTCTGTTTTACATAAGAATATTTTAATTTTTCAAAATTTTAATAAAATTTGTAAATTAAAGCTTTTGAATTTTTTAAGTGTGGAGTGGTACTCGAATTATCCATTCCATTTGAACTAAACTTGTTGAATGATTTTCAATTAGAAATTTTCAATTACAAAATAGAATAGTACAAAAAAAATACATGTATGAGGCATAAGGTGCATAATAATGAAAAGTCGTAGTATAAACACTTAAAAAAATTTTCTCTTAAAATCAAATCTCAAATTAAATTTACAGTATAGCTACTTACTATAATTCTTGAAACAGAGCAAAGAGTTGAGAATTATAATTATTAATAGCTTAAGTTAGACAATAAAATATTTTATGCTAAATTAATGTTAATATTATGTTGATTACATCTACTAATGTAATCGTGTATGTTCAAACTTTAAAAATCAAATTATTAGAAATAAATTGACCAATTTGCAATAAAATTAAATAAATCATTGTGTAACAAATTTATTATAGGAAATTTTTCCAATCTAATGACTTAAATTGTTCTAATGTCATATTCTGATGGCTTTTTATATTATAAATGATGCCCATAACAAATAATTTTTCAAATTTCAATCTTATTTCTTTCAACAAATAAAATATATTGACAAAATTCTAATCAATAATATTAAATTTTCATGGTTGGTCAGCCTCAAGCAATAAAATATACCCACGTGTTTGAACTATGTATTAAAGTACATATTATGTATATTTATATATATATCTGTATATTGTGTACGTATGTGTAAATAATAGTATTTCTCCTTTATTTGCCTTATTTTGCGAAAACGCCTCAATAAAATACTATTTGATTTTATTTAACTAAGAATTTTGATGTTGTTGTAATAAAAAGTCGAAAGATTTTGTGATTCAAAATAAAAATTTTATTTTAAGCACATTTATAATTCGAGAATAAAATATAATGTTGTAAACGTTGTTAGCCCGCTAAATATTTTGGATTTTGTGAAGATTCTTCATTATTTTTTAATTAAAAATATTTTTGTTTTAGTTAAAATTTTCTATTTCAAATCTTAATTCTGTTTTATTTCGAAGTAAATTATGGTCGCCACATATTATTCAATATTAAAAGTTAATAAAATAACTAATATTGAATTTATATCCAGTGGGTTGACAAATAATCTATCTACAAATGGACGAGTAATAAAATTTAGATTTATTATTGAATGTGTAATTTTCTTAATTTCCACAAAATCTGCTTAAAACAAGAATAATGTCTTCTGGTTAATGTTATCTTTTTTATATGTTTCTCTCTTTTATACTTTACATGGGCATATATTGAAATTTCCTCATATAATATTTACAAATATTATATACCAAGATGTACTATGCAAAAGAGGGGAAAAAAAGGACATGAACAAATTGAAATCTCAATAAATTATATTTACAACATTTTACTAAAATTCATAGAAATTAATTGTGTTGATCATTAGTATTGTTTTACTTTATATTGATATTGAAGGGTATGAAATGAATCTAAATCTTAATATAATATAATATTATATAACAAAGTATATGACACAGTCACAGTTAAAAATTATTATAAGATTTTCAAGTAGTTGCCTAATAAATTATTGTAAAATAAAATGTGGGATCAAAGCAAAATATGGTTCTACTTTATATCATGACAGATTTTCATGGAAAATTTTAACATATTTATAATTATTGTAATCACTATGTAGAATATCATCTTGAAGACTATAAATAGCTTTTGTATAAATTGTGTATAATTTATTTAGCTATATATTATTATAAACAGATTGCAAATCGAAGAACGATATTTAAGGATAATAAACAAATATTTATTAGGTTACAACCCTATGATATTGAAATTCATTCATTTACTGTCAATTAATATGAAATCACGTAAATAAAATAAAATCAAAAAGATAATAAATCTTATGATTCAAAAATTTTGCAAATTCTTCGATTTATTCTAATTAGAATGATTAGAATTCTATATGTATTGAATAATTAAAAATTCCGATTTATTTGGTTAGGGAAAAGGGAAGGGAAAAATTTATCATTAAATATTAAGAGAAAATAAATTATTTAACTGAAAAGAAATTCTTGTTATTGTGTTTTTTTGCAAAACGAATTTATAATTTTCCGAGAAATTTTATTTTAAAACTTAAAACATACATAACTTTTATATTATATAAGTAAATGCTGTTATGTCTATCACGCCTTCAAGCTCAGAAAATAAACCAAAAATAATTTCCAAATTTGTGTTATGGAATGTTGGAAATTATTTGACAAATTAAAAATATTGGAAATTATTCGCAGCCTCGACGTCTGATAAGTAATTGTATATGATATTATTATAAACATTTCATAAGGATGTTTCAAATACTATGTCAGGATATACAAAAAGTGATATATACAATATAAGTATAAACTTCTAATATTTCCATAACAAACTTCAGAATCATTTTTAATACATTTCGGAATACTTATTCAAAATAGAATATTTCATACAGATAACGTTTTAGTAGTGTAGCTATTTCATAGCTTTCCCTTACTCATTCAGTAAATTTTTGAATTTTTTCAATTTAACTTACATATGTTTTTCGGTTGTATGTACAATTTTTTGGTGCGTAGCCTATAACAATTCGTCAACCCATTTGAATTAAAAAATAGCATTGCAGGATAAATTAAATTTATTTGCTTATTGTTAGAGAGAAATTACTAATGTTAACACTATAAGCCCATAAAAATATGGAACCGAGTACTAAAAATAATCTCGGATAAGAACGGTTAATAACAAGGTCTCTACAAATTGATTCAAAGCTGTAATACGATTAATAAACAACATTTCCGGAAATATTTTGAATTCTTATACATTTTTTTCTCAAACAAAATGGTAAATAAAAGTATCGATTGTATTAAAGTTTGACTTGACAACTTTAGGACACTCGTATAAATTGTGAGATTTATAAAATT